AATTTCTCACCACTGTCGGTCTACTCAATTTCATTTCAACAAGTGTTTGAACAAATAAATTTGTAATCAATTTCGAATTCTTGTGTCCTTTTATTTATAACAAAACTAGTAAAAACTAGTAAGTTTAGGAAACCGGCCGTTTATTCATTTTTTAATTATTTAGTCTAGAATTGAATCCATACTCTCTAATGCAAGTTAGAATTTCTTTCTGGTGTTGTTCATATGTTTTTCTCCGTGCCGAGTTCATTTTTTTTTTGATAAGTCAAAGATATATTAACTTTAACCTGTTTTTCATTTATTCTTTCGTGAAGTGGAGTAGAGATTCTTTATACTACCAATTACTAAGTCTTGTTGATCTTGAGAAAACCGGTAATTAATGCATTTATTATTTAGTGTTGTAAAGAAGACAATATCTCTATTACAAGTCAGAATTTCTTTCTGATATTGTTCATTTGTTTTTCTACATTTTCAGTTCATTTGTTTCATTTTCATTTTAACGAATCAAAGGTATAAGAACTTTTAACCAGTTATTCATTCATGCTGTTCAAATTATCGACATATTGTCGTTATGAATGAGTGACGCCTGACGATAGGCAGCACGTCTTCTGAATCTCGGTACCCTTGTAATAGATTCCCGGAATTTGTGTGAATTCGTAGAAGTAACCCTTCAGTGAGCAAGAGTGCGAGGAACGTGTCAGTCGCCTATAATTATCGACTCGTATTAATTATTAATTAATCCTTTGGTGGTCTTTTAATAAACTTTAGAATTATAATTTCTTAAAATAATTTTTATTGGTGAACTTTGTTAAGTGGTTTTTCCGCGAGATTTAGGACTCTTTTTATGAAATAAATCAGATATTATTTCTATGTTTAATGAACTGATGCCTTATTTTATCATTGACTTGAATTCCTCAATCCAAACCGATAATTTATTTAATATACACACTTCTAAATACAAGTTAGAATTTCTTTCTGACTTTATTTGCTTGTTTTTTTCCTATTGAGTTCATTTGTTTTCTTCTGATTTTATATTTATATTCCTCGAACATTTAAAGATTGAACGGAAAGTCTTAAATATAGGTATTTAAACCGAAATGTTTATTCTGTTTTCTGTCAAGTTTTGATCTATTTTCGATTTATTTTTGTCACAAACATTCAATTAGGAACTAATAACAAACGCAGTTATTAAAAATAGCGTTCAGAGTACGCTTCGCGTGTTATACGTGCAATGCACAATTTGCAAGGCAACAATTGCGATTAATAGTTGGTGATGAAAACATTGTTAGGCGCCAGATTGCTATCACAAGAAGGGATCAGCTGAATCATCCTCCACTTCACCTGAATGAAAATTCGAGATTATGTTTCCAATGCCATACGTCAATTTCAAACGAAATAGCACAAGAAAATGAGAATCCAAATTGTTTGCTAGCAGCTCTTGTGTAGTTTGTAACGAGCAAAATAACGTGACTAGATTATCCGTAGGCTGTAGAGTAAAAGTTTTTGTAGCAAGAGATATTTACATGTCCCAAAATGTAAGAGCCTGTCCACATCATTTAGATGAAGAAGTCAACTTCTTTAATGTTTTAGTACTTGGTTTTCGTTCCATTAATAGACCTTGTAAGATTAACGGACGTATTCTGGCATCATTTTTACAGGGTTTAAGAGAAGAAAGCGCTAAAAAAGATATATTTTCAAATGAAAATAATTTAAATGATGATGAATTTGCGTGCATTACACCCATCACAAAATAACAGTTTCAGAAACTGTTTACATTTTGTGATCCAGTTTCACAATATGGTAACATGAGACACATTTCTAAAAAAGATTTATTGACCTTTCTATGTAAGTTAAGACAAGGCATAAGTGATGACTTCCTGAAACTTATCTTTCATTACCCAAGCAGACAGTGTGTGAGTTTGATTATAGATAACGTAAGAAAGTCATTAACGTTAAGATTTGTTCCTCACAATATCGGTATCAGATGAATAACACGTCAAGACTATATAGACCGGCATGTTACTAATTTCGCTAATGCTTTATACAATCCTCAACCGAATGAAGCCAAAGCTATCATTGTCATTGATGGAGCTTCTACAATACCTCCAAAAGCAAGTCCAAGTCCAAGTCCAAGTCCCTTGGAGATAGATGCGCGCGCATGTTGTTGCCAACTGTCGCTGATTGAGAAATGAAAAAGAAATTTCTTCTGATCTCGTTCTCGTGATTGTGGTTATGTGCTCATGTGCTCATGCGGTAAATACACGATAAATAATTAGTCGCGTTATTGTTGTTGTTGCTGCTGCCGCCTCATCGTTTTTTAAGGTAAGCAAGCTATAAATATTTTAATGTTAAACTTGTTCTTCTTGAGTACTTATTTATTTTTATAAATGTAAACCTTTTTTCTCCGTAATAATCCACATGCTTGTAATTTTTGTAAAAAAAATAGACACAATAAATAAGATTAACTGTCAATACAAACCACTTTTTATGTTTCGTACTGATAGTTGATTGGGGTGCACTTCCGAAAACCCCCCCCTTCCGATTTTAATGAAACTTGGTATACTCACGTAATTTCATGCGCTGATCACGAAAATGATAGTGAAAATTACCGCAAATTTCATTTTTATGGTAAAAACCATAAAAAACACCATAAAATTATGGTTTTTTGCGTTTAACTCGTAAAAAACGCAAAATTAAAAAAAATCGTTCTTACAAAAGTTGTAGAGCTTCTAAAAATGAACATTTTATGTCCTATACATTTTTTACCAAAAGTCATTAGTTTTCGAGAAAAATGCAGAAACATGAAAAGCACACTACAAAAATTACTAATACCACGAAACTGGAATTCCTATAAAGATAGTTTTGAGAGATCGCACATTAAATTTGATTCGTTTGAATATTATATTATTATGATATTATATTATATTATACATATATTATGTATATATAATATATAAGATGTCTTCCCCCCTCCCCCCCTGGAAGTAGCTCTGCACAGCAAAGAATGCAGAGGCGGGCGAAGCGCGCCATCCTTAGTATCGTTGCTCTCTATCAAAACAGACAGTCAAATTCACATTCTTAATGGTACTGAAAGGTACGGAACCCACCCCGACCCCCCTCCTCCAAGATGTCTTCCCCCCCTCCCCCCCTGGAAGTAGCCCTGCACAGCAAAGAATGCAGAGGCGGGCGAAGCCCGCCTTCCCTAGTATCGTTGCTCTCTTTCAAAACAGACAGTCAAATTCACATTCTTAATGGTACTGAAAGGTACGGAACCCACCCCGACCCCCCTCCTCCAAGATGTCTTCCCCCCCTCCCCCTGGAAGTAGCCCTGCACAGCAAAGAATGCAGAGGCGGGCGAAGCCCGCCTTCCCTAGTATCGTTGCTCTCTTTCAAAACAGACAGTCAAATTCACATTCTTAATGATACTGGAAGGTACGGAACCCACCCCGACCCCCCTCCTCCAAGATGTCTTCCCCTAAAAGTTCTTTTGGAAATAGCCCTGCACAGCAAAGAGTAGAAGGTTTTTTATTAAAAGATATTGTCCGTCACATAAGACATCTGCCTCTTGTGGATAATAGCTAGAAGTTGGTGATTTTCACCGTTTTTAAATATTTTGCATTTTTCTCGAAAACTAATGACTTTTGGTAAAAAATGTATAGGACATAAAATGTTCATTTTTAGAAGCTCTACAACTTTTGTAAGAACGATTTTTTTTAATTTTGCGTTTTCTACGAGTTAAACGCAAAAAACCATAATTTTATGGTGTTTTTTATGGTTTTCACCATAAAAATGAAATTTGCGGAAATTTTCACTATCATTTTCGTGATCAGCGCATGAAATTACGTAAGTATACCAAGTTTCATTAAAATCGGAAGGGGGGGGTTTTCGGAAGTTTATCCCAAACTAAAAAATATATTCCCAGAACATGACACAAAACCTTTGAAATTTGAAAAAAACACTTAAAAAGAATTCATACTTTCTATTTGTTGGTTTTTTTATTTCATTTTCTTTTACGATTAAATAAAAAACTTTGGTCATTTTTTGAAAATTTGACAAAAAAGATTGGTATCTGAAAAATTTCCGCGAAAACCGCGAAATTCGATTGAAAAACATATTGAGATAAAAACATGTATTATGGCAATTTTTCCGATGCAATTCGATGCAATCTATGAAAATTTTAAAATCATTTGATTTTTATAAACTGATTTTTTTCTTTCCCTTTTTGTCAGATATGGAAGATCTCAATGTCCTCCTCATACGATTGGTACATATGTACCCTTGTATATACGACAAGACAATAAAGGAATACAGAGACAACGTATTAAATCAAAAAGCATGGGAAGACATCGTCAATATTTTTAATGAGAGAACTAGATGTAAACTCAAAGGTAAGTGACATATTCCATTTTTATATATTTCTTTACGATTGGAATTCTTCGTAAAATTTACATTCAAAATTTTTTCTTTCGATTGAAAATTTGGGCATGATTCGCGCAGGATTTCAAGTAACCCTCAGAATTTTTTGACAAAAATGAAATATACGAATCGTCGTTTAATGGTATTTTAATTTCTGCAGAATGTTGATTTCGTTGAATTTTAATGTTACAGAAAACAGATTGGTTAATTTCTGACCGAAATATTTTGGTCAAAATGTTTTTCGATCATTTAAGTTATATGTAGCATTAAACTTCGAGCAGAGCAACTTTCTGAAAAATTAATATTCTATCAAACGGTGTTGGGTACAATTTGAGATTCGATCAAAATGACTTTTAGGAAAATTACAGGGTTGCCACAGACCTGAAAAACCTGAGAATTGTCCCAATTTCTTCAGGATTTTCTTCGTTTCCCGGTTATGTCCCAGTTTTTCCGGTTTGTAGATACCCTGGCATTTTTTGTCTTAAATACCTAAAAACTCATTAAAAAAATTTTACACATGTGTCTGGAATTTAAAAAAAAATGGTCTGGAAAACCTCGAAAAATCATGGAATTTCAAAATCAGTGTTTCGTGGCATATTACATATACATATATACATTTTTTCATCTAGTGTCGCAAGCATTTAATCGGTGGAAGACGCTGATGACCGATTACGGAAAAGAAAGATGTAGACTGAAGGCCTACATTCGTTCTGGATCCGCAGCATCAAAAAGTCCCACAGTTGAATGGCCCTATTACAACGATATGAGTTTTCTAAAAGAAATTGTATATCACATGGGGTAATAATATAATTAACTAATTTAATTTACTTAAATATAATGTAATTTAAAAAATATTTCTAATTTTTAAGGTATCATTAATTTTTGCTTCCTCATAGGAAGCTTTATAGTGATGACAATTTTCGAACTTCCTAAAATCAATTCTTTCAACAAATTTTTAACTAATATAGTTATATTTCGACATGAGGAAGAAATGTCCGGATGTATGTGTGTGTGGATGTGTGTATGGCACCGTTCCTTGTGTACAAGTTATCTTAAACAAATTTTTATGGATCGCCCTGAAATTTTTCATGCTTACTCTACTCACTAATAACGAAAATCGGACACAAGGATTTCCGAAAATATCTACACAATTTTTTTAGGTCATTTTTTCAAAAATTCAAAAATACATTTTTTGACAAAAAAATTCTTTTTGCCATAAATTTCACTTTATGTATTAAAAAAACGAATACCTTTCATAAAGACGATTTTTTAACCTATAATAAGTTAATATTTTATTCAAATTAAAAGATGAAATCACTGTTATTAGTTTTTGAAAAAAATCAAATTTTTGTTTTTTTAATAGTTTTCTTTTCCTAATAAACATTTTAAAAAATTTCTTTGAAATTTACATTCCTTGGATGAAAACAAATTGATTGATTTATTTAAAGTATACTTTTTATTTAAAATTATAAAACTTATCGTTATTTTCAAATTTAACAAAATTTAAATTTTTCAAAACTCTTTTTTAAAGTAAAATTGTTCTTAATACTTAGTTTCTAATACTTTTTTTATCAGAAAAAGGATCATAATCTATGAGGAAGCATATAATGTTCGTGAAATGAACATGAAATTGTTTTATAAAAAGAACCCCCTTCTTGTTAACTTACGCATATAAGTGAAAAAGTTAATTTTTTGGTGCTCGAATACAAGTATTTCAAGTTAAAATTGTTAATAACTGGATTAAATACATGTAAAAAGTTCTTCAATAGCTCGTAATATACGTCTTAAAAGTAAAATAATATTTAAATAATTTTGTTTTAGTTACGTCGAAACTTTCAAAAGGCCACGTCCTCACCCTCAACAAGAAGAAATAGAAAAAGTTGTGGAAGAAGAAGGTGAAGAATTTGAAGAAGGTAATGATATTTCGCATACATATTATATTTGTTAAATTATTTTATATATATATATATATATATATATATGTCTAATGGCAGGTTCCACGACCAAATTTTTTTTTTCTTTTAAACGATGCTAATAGTGCCACATTAATAATCTATGCAACGATTATTGCAATAAAAATGTTTTTTAATATTAAAAAATTGATTCTTCTATATAAAGGTTCATTCCACGACCGAGAATCTACAATGATTTCCCCTCAAGCGCTTCCCCACCCTATAGCACTTGATACGCCCACCAGAAGTAACGACCAATAGTTAAAACAACCTTTTTATATAAAAACGGTCGTGGAACCTGGGAAGCGTAGAATTTCAGAAAAACTAGTTATATATTAAAATTTAACGTTTAAAGAATGTAAAATCAGTAAAGACAATTGTTAATTTCTTTTGTTTAAAACATTTATATATTCAAAATAAATTCCAGAAAATACGAAAACTAATCGTAGAGGAATTAATTGGTAGTGGAAAATACCACAATATATATCATCATTGAATACATTCTAAAAAGTATTAAATTATTTACGTATTTTATAAAAATAACTTTCCGACAATACAGAAAGTTAAAATATTTATAAAAAGCTCTTTAGTAGCTATTAAATTTCGTAATAACATGGAAGAAAAAATTGGTCGTGGAAAAACACTCGGTCGTGGAATCTGCCCCTATCGATATTTCATGATTAAAACATTTCAATAGGTGAAAAATAGTTTATGTATGTTTCAAACATTAATTTTAGACACACTGAAAGTTGCAATAGTTAAGAAAAACACTTCAGTAACTCTAAAGTAATGTTATATCATGCCAAAAAAAAAGGTCGTGGAAAAACAATCAGTCGTGGAATCTGCCACTATCGATATTTCATGATTAAAACATTTCAATAGGTGAAACATAGTTTTTGTATGTTTTAAAAAAATTATTTCAGACACACTGAAAGATGCAATAGTTAATAAAAACACTTCAGTAGCTCTAAAGTAATGTTTATTAATGCAAAAAAATTTGGTCGTGGAAAAACAGTTTGTCGTGGAATCAGCCACTATCGATATTTCATGATTAAAACATTTCAATAGGTGAAAAAAAGTTTATGTATGTTTTAAACATTAATTTAAAAAACACTGAAACTTTGAGTAGTTTAGAATAACACTTCAGTAGCACTAAAGTAATATTTATAATGCCAAAAAAATTGGTCGTGGAAAAACAATCGGTCGCGGAATCTGCCACTATCGATATTTCATGATTAAAAGTTTTGAATAGGTGAAAAATAGTTTATGTATGTTTTAAACATTAATTTCAAAAACACTGAAAGTTTGAGTAGTTTAGAATAACACTTCAGTAGCTCTAATGTAATATTTATAATGCCAAAAAAATTGGTCGTGGAAAAACAAGCGGTCGCGGAATCTGCCACTATCGATATTTAATGATTAAAACATTTCAATAGGTGAAAAATAGTTTATGTATGTTTTAAACATTAATTTCAGACACAGTGAAAGTTTAAATAGTTCAGAATACCACTTCAGTAGCTCTAAAGTAATGTTTATTAATGCAAAAAAAATTGGTCGTGGAAAAACAGTCTGTCGTGGAATCAGCCACTATCTATATTTCATAATTAAAACTTTTTAATAGGTGAAAAATAGTTTATGTATGTTTCAAACTTTAATTTTAGACACACTGAAAGTTAAAATAGTTCAGAATTACACTTCAGTAGCTCTAAAGTAATGTTATATCATGCCAAAAAAATAGGTCGTGGAAAAACAATC